TGAGTTTAAAATATATATGCCACAGCTATAGTGAACCGAATGCAGTTTCTTTTCAAAGCTCAGTACAAGCTAGTACCTGAATTGGCAGTCTGTTCTTTTTCTCAAAGTAATGTCAAACAGATGATTTGGGGAAAGAGTCTTTTTCACGCTTTACAATATAAATCTGAAAAAGATGCAGCAGTTGTGCTTCTATTTTCAAGTAAGATGTTCTCTGAGCCAATCATGATGAGGCTCATGCTATAATGTGTTGAGTCTTACAGAAATATGATCACTTCTAGTGCTCCCATTGGAATCAATGACAAAATTCTTACCTTTAGTGAAGGAGAAGACAGCCATCAAGTTTAAAGAAACTTTTTATTATTATTATTTGTTTGTTTGTTGGAGGCCAAAGTTTCTTATCTATTTCTGATAGAAGTAATGACTAAGATCAAACTAAATGAAGTTGTTGGAAATACTGACTTTTTTTCTCTTGCTTTCTGCTTTTTTTTTTTTTTTTTTTTGGCACAATCCTTACACCAGTGAAAGTAATCAGAATATTGCCACTGATTTCAGAAAATCGTGTGTCACGAACACAGTGCATTGGATAAATTTGTCACTAGCTAAATGTTTGTCATATAATCAGTTTTATTCTTTCAATTCAACTCAATTTATTAGTCATTTTTCTCTGCTAGTGTGGGTCTCACACTCAATGACAGGAACAATGGCAAAAACAGTGTAATAAAACTATAAAAACTGGCAAGTGTAATAAAACCATAAAAATTGGCAGAGGTATGCAGATGCAATTAAATTACTTCCAGCTCTTTAAAACAAAATCTGATTCTACATCAGAATGTCAGTTTGTGTAATCTGTATCCATTTCTTTTAATGTGCTAAATCACTCCAGTTGTAATCCATGGGTCTGATCCAAATCAACTTAAGTTAATGGAAAGATACCCATAGATTTCAGAGAGCTTTAGATGAAGTCTTCATTACTTAATATGAAGTTTTGAGCTTGGTCAACTCCAAGGGAGATTATGAGAATGAAATTCCAGGTCACCTAAGAATATCAGGAATTTGTTATATATAACTTATGAAGCTTCATGACAATGGAGAAGCTGCCATCTTCCTTTCAAAGAATTGACATAGATTTTGAAGCCAAATATTTCTTTCTGATAGTCCTGGAACTTATCAAATCTATATTTCCTATAACAATTTTCAGCCTTAGTTGAACTTATCACATACACAGAGATAAATTTTTGTGACTGACAGCAGAATTCAGACCTAGGAAGAAGCTGAAGTATTGGCTCTTTGGCTGAAAGAATAAAAGTGAAATACTAAATTATTATCCTCTTGGTTCCTTCCTCACATAACTGCTTACTCCAAGAAATATTTAACTATTTTATTAGGCTAGTGTGCCACAAGAAAGTAGAGAATGTGAAATAAGTAGCTTATACAAGTAATTCTGTGGCTGTATGTTGTATTTGACAGAGCAGGAATAATCCATGAATGTTGGAGATTGCTATGAGAGATGGTATTTTATAATCATAGTAAGATTTAACTCATGTTTCTTACTGAAAGTGCATACAGTTTGCTAATATGTGTGTTTATATATATATGTACATACACATATATGTTTTTATACAAGACAGAAGTCAAACAGGAGAGAATAGGTGAGGAAATATGAGACCTCCTTTCCCTGTTAGTGGTAAATGATAATTTTGCTATTTTGTACAGGTGGCTAAAGGTATTTGTTTCTGGAGATGAGAGTTTTCATGAATAAAGGAATAAAATAAAAATTAGGAATAAATATGGTATAATAAATATATATAGCATGGTATATATATATTAAAACAATGGCATACATATAGCAGRCCTGCATGATATAAATGTAATTATTAGTGACAACAATATATTGAAACCCTTATATTCTTTCCTATAAGATATGCAGGTTTCCTATAGGGTATGTTGCTCTAAAGCTAATTGTGTAGACTATTTTCTGAAAAAGTAATGTGTATACAATATTGCAACAGGCAATCAGTTGCAGAAGATTTTTGTTGCATTATCTATGGCAAATTGGGGGAGCATTAAACCATCTATGGCAAGTTACTTCTGCTAGTGGAGGAAAAAAAAAGTAATGTGAACATTTAACTCTCCCTTATAAGTGAAACGTTATGCAGAGATGGACTTTTGCAGCAGATTGTGATTTGGTACTTCACAAATCTGTTATACTTAGGGCATAAGGAGTCACTAGGGCAGGGGAGAAGGCTCTCCAGAGTGTCTCACAGATGTCCAGTTTCTGGGTATGGATATCTTGGCTCTGCCTCTTCTCGTATATCCCTCCATCTCTCAAAATCCTGCTGCGGTAGCACGATGGCCTGCCTGTACTAGCTGTAATCTAGGGACCTCTGATACGAAAGGACATAATCAAAACATGTGGAAGTGAGGGGCTGGAGTCCATCTCAGATTGCCCAATTCTGCATGGCTACATTTGAGACTCACTGATATGAAATTATTGACTTCAGTTCCCTCACTAGCATTCTGCTTCTCTTTTTATTTTTTAGTCTGCTTTTCATGTACTTCCTATCAGAGATCAAACAGTTTCAGGGAAGTAACTAGAAGCAGAGATCAGCCATCCTCCTGATGGTCATGGAAGAGCCTGATGGGAAAGAGCAGGAGCCATACTGAAAACTAGGATTACCTGAGGGGCTGAAGTAGGGAGGCATCAGCAAGGCAGGCATACCCTGAATAGCACGACAAAAAYGAGAACAAGGATTTGGGGCATAGGAAGGAGAAAAAGAAAGATGAGATGCGTGAGCACCTGGTAAAGGTCAAAGAAACTGGCCAGAGAAAGAAGAGTCAGGGAATGAAAGAAACACTTGCAATGGAATACAGGCAGTTCAAGGGAATGTTAGAAATATGTTTTTCTGTACTTAGCAGAATTTCAGAGTTCAGGGGAGATTCTAAAGTTGACTTTTCCAAAGAAGTAGATGCTCTATTTTGGCAGAAGTTGAAGTTACATGTGCCTCGATTGAAGAAGAAGTAACACTCAAGTCAATACATGTTTAAAAAAGTAGTGAATTCTGTGAGAAAGTTTCAGTTAGAGGTAATAGATAATTCTGGTATTTTTTCAGTCTACTTCATGAGTAGATAAAGCAGTAGAAGAAAAAAGAACTATAGAAACTATTCCACGATACAAAATTTTCTCATCCTAAATTTACTTTTTTTGTTAATGTAAAATGTTCCATTTTTAAAGATCAATGCAACTCATTTTCTTTTATATTGTAAATAAGTATACTATTATAGCATTTTAAAATAGATGGTGAAAGCAGAATTAATTTAGCAGCAATATGACTGAAATATACCCCTTCCAATTCTTCTTCAGGATGGGAACACTGTGATAGAAATGCGACTAATAATAAGCTAGGAAGAGTTCTCAGTATTGACATGGTCACTAGCACTCTAACAGTTTTGTCCTGTGTTCATTTCATGTATTTATTTACAAAAGATAAATGAACACATGCAAACATGTACCCCATTGATGTTTGAAATGTGTTTGGAACTGGGAATCAAAATAGCTATGAAAACAATATGCATAATAAGTAAAATATGCTGTAATAAATATTATATGTGAAAAAGGTTAGGAAAGCAAAATGAAACCTAATGCATCAAAATTTTTTACTTGTAAAAATTCTCTTAAAAATATTCTCCTCAGCAAGACCAGTTGCATAGCAAAGAATGAAAATGTACTGAATTGTCATATATGAAAAAGCTCATTTAAAAATCTTAAATCTATTTTTAAGCAGACTGCTTAACAATACCACAATTCTCAATCCCTAAGCATTGTAATATATCAGTGAGGTGAAGTTCTGTGGCCTCTATGCTGATAAGATATGTTGTGTTTGAGCACTTATGCAATTTCAAAAAAAAATCCTTTAAGCACTTGTTATGTGTTTGTAAGGAACTGTTGAAGTCAATAAGATTGTTTGTGCAGAAGTATATCTGATGTTTAATACAGCTGGAGTTTCTTTATGCTTATTGTTTCAAGTAAAGATGCATGCAGCTGGATGCTGTTTGTGTTCAACAGCTTTTTAATGCTATTTCTTCTCTGCTTTGGCTTTCTGCATTATTTCCCTGAAGTCTCTTGGGTATGCTTAACAGTTTGGTTATRTATTGTGTGTCCTTTGAAAGTGCCACTTACTTTCTCTGTTTCTAAAATATTTGATGTTGCTTTGAAAATGAGTGTTTCCTTAATAAGGTCCATATAGAGCTAAGTAGCAAGTAATAGCATTTTATCCTCTTTTTTTTTTGGATGTACTTAAGGAGTTCTTTGCATAGGGCCGCGCATGTAATGCATTGACTAGGGTCAACAACCATGCAAGGTTCATTTCCTAAGAAACTTTCTAAGTATCTAGCAGTTTCCAGTTCATTCCTGTTAAGTTGTGAAGACATATCATAAGTTTTGTTTGGAAAAGCAGAGATAATGGCCAAATTGCTTTGAGAAACATAAAAAGATGAAYAAGTGAGTTTGCCCTGCCTAGTGAACTCTCATTTCCTTAATCAGGGTGGCTAAAACACCACAAAAAGATGGCACATATTGACTCTGAGAAGTTAGCAGCAATTATTTGCAATTATTTGCTGTATTATTTTCCATGTCAGACAAGTAATAGAGCAATACCATACCAGCCAAAGAAGAAATTTCTAGATTTTCTACCCTTCAGCTTTAAGGACTGTTTGCGTTCTTTTCATGGATGCATATATGTCTGGAAATTAGAATCTTATTGCAAAGCGATAAAAAATGTCTAGATATTCTACTGTATTGAGCTTTGAAATGAGCAAAAAAGTTGAGAAAGTATGAACAATGCTCCCTTTCTATATTAATGCCCATCACTGGACTGTGGATCACCAGATAGAGCAAAAATACTTTGATACGATCACATACTATTCCTCCCATGAAACAGAGCAATRCTGCTTAGTATTTATTTAGTTGTTCTCAAATGTCTTTTTGTTTGTTTGTTTCATAGATATATTTACGATTCTTGGATTATGAGATGCAAAATTCCAATGAATGCAAAAGGAATTTTGTGGCTGTCTATGATGGAAGTAGCTCAGTGGAGGATTTGAAAGCGAAGTTTTGCAGCACAGTTGCTAATGACGTAATGCTACGGACAGGTCTCGGTGTGATCCGCATGTGGGCAGATGAAGGCAGTCGAAGCAGCCGATTCCAGATGCTCTTCACATCTTTCCAAGAACGTAAGACTAAGCACTGTATCCACCTTTCAGTTTGTTAAATGATATAAGTCCCATAAACTGTTAATGTTTTCTTCAYGCAGAGTAAGCACAGAAGGATGTTCCTGAACAAGCTATGTAAATCATCAAAGCAGTCTTTATTCCATGCATTTTTGTAGTCTGCAATAATTTGTATTACAGTAGTTAGATCACAGGATTTAGAAGCAGGAAAGCAGAGTATCAGTAAGCACAATGACCTAGAATTTTAGATACCCAAGCTTTGAGGCCACTCTGTGTCTCAGGTTTTTCTTACATGAACTGGAAGACAGTATAACTTAGAAACTTCTCTTTTATCAACCTTAATTCAGACCTAACCCTTTACTGTCAATTCATTTTTTGAGATCTTAGTTTGATAGACAATTAAAAAGTCTCTTACGAGCATTTTATCATAGATGATGGATGTGTTCGTGCATGTTCCAAAATGCTTACATCTATAAATATATATGTCAAATCTTCTTAAGCAAAGAATTTAGGTTTTTTTTTTTTTTTTTTTTTTTTTTTGGTAATAATGGAACTTATCTGAAAACCCAACACAGCATTTTGATTTGCAAACTTGATATTCACACTGTACACCTTGCTTGCATTCATGTGCTTCCATATTTCCTGGACTAAGATAATAGACAAAGTAGTATTTGAAAGAAACAAAAGTAGTCATTGCCAGACATATTAAAAAACAATAATCCCATCTGCCAAAAATGGTTGATTTGGTTAATCAACTATGAAAGACATCAGTGTATTTCCGTTAATGGAAATAATACATGTTCGGTCCCTTAAGGAAGAAGCATCTGCATTTATTTACAAGTGCTGATTCACATTCATTTTTATTGCATTCCTTCATTTGTGCATCACACGTCTATCAGGAAGGTTTCTGTGTGGCTGTCAGTGGYTGGAGCAAAGAGACAATCCCACAAACATCTTCTTCATCTGTATTCTGCACGTACTCTGCCAGGAGGCAMTGAGACACTGTTATTCCTTAATTATGGTTTTGATTAAAAATTTCTGACAATCTGCACTCCAGAAATTGTATATGCCGCTATTATCCCCCCCCATAGCCTTAGCAGGGATTTTATTTTTTCTTGACTGTAAATCATGCTGAAATCTAGTAGGTAGTGAGACCCCCTCAGTTGAGATGATAGTGCCCTTTCCTCATTTCTGAAACTTCAGATGTTTTGAATATTCAAAATCAGATTTTTTTTTCTCAAGGCATCCCAATCTGTTACCTTAGAAACAACTGCACAGACAGTGGAGGTTCACAGCATATAAAGAACTGACGAGTGAAGCACTTTGATGACTAACTTGAAATGAATGTTTGAATAARTGTGTGTTTGTAAGGCTTTCATATTTGAAAGGAAAGTAAGGAGAAATAATAGTTGCTATTTTTCTGCTATGTTATTCTTAATACCTGACGAGCTGCCCTGTTCTTGTAAACAGACATTAGTTTATATTATGCAGCATGCTGACTGGGAGGTTGAAAATCTTGATGTGATGTGTTTTCTGTAAATTTCTGCTGAAGAATTATTGCATGCTAAAGGATGAAAATTTATTGAGGGCTAAGCGGTGCTTTTAGACATGCATGCACAACCTGTTCATAAATTTTAGTGGAAGCCACAGCTGTGTTTTTAAAGCTGGAACTTGGCTCTAAAGATTTAAAGGTGATGCTGGTTGTACCATCAGTTATSTCCAAGTGCTGAAAGCTGGCATTGTCTGTCAGGAGTCAGAGGGAACAGATCTCTAAGGTGCGCACAGCAGGCAGCATGAAAATTGTGAAAGTAGTGTATGGGAATAATTAACTCATCTGCACAGAAGGGAAGGGATGTGAGTCTTCCTGTTTAGACTTCACTCAGAGAGACAGGGAGCAGGGAATGGACACTTGTATCTTGACTCAGAGACAAAGAAATACAGAAAGCTATTCTGTTGACTTAGAGCTGTGAAAAAAAAAAAAGATGGCATATATGTTTTGGTTATGTACATGTGAGAAGATGATTTAATAAAATGCTTTTTTTCTGTTGTTGAAGGAGGAATGCTCAAGAGGTACCATTTRGTAGAGCTTCTCAGCTTCCTTTTCTTCATGGGTCACTGCAGTCATTAGAATTAAGTTCTTGATACCTTTATTCTTTCATCGGGCAAGCTGCTGTGAATCAGAAGTCATCTGCACTTTAATCTTTTCCCCTTCCCCCTGGAATTGGACATTTGTATAGAACAGAGAAACTTTAAAAACATGATGATGATTGATTGTTTTCATATGGTTTGATCAATGTGTTCCAACATTGTTCCAACAGCGCATACAGCATATGCTATATGCAGAGTCTAATACAGGGCTACAGGGATGATCAGGGACCTGGAACATCTGCCCTATGAGGAAAGACTGAGAGAGCTGGGCCTGTTCTGCCTGAGGAAAGAGAGGGCTGAGAGGGGATCTAATCAGGGTCTATAAATACCTCAAGGGAGGGAGTGAGGAGAATGGGGCCGACCTCGTCTCGGTGATGGCYACRATAGGACTAGAGGAAACTGCCACAAATTGAAGTATCAGAAGTTCCACAGGAACTTAAGGAACAACTTCTTAACAGTGAGAATGACAGTGCACTGGAACAGGTTGCCAAGAGAGGTTGTGGAGTCTGCTCTGGACATCTTCAAACCCTGCTTGGACGCAATCCTGTGACACATGCTCTTGGTGACCCTACGTTGGACTGGATGATTCTATGATTCTATATAAAAAGAAACAAATTACATTGAAATATGGCCATTTCTGACTTTTTGGCCTTTAAAAATAATCTTACAATTTTCCAGACCTCCAGCAGCAATACTTCACAGAACAGCAAGACTCAAAACTGAAAAATATTTTTGAAGAAAGAAAATACAGAAAGTTGCTAAATTTACTCATCCAGAAAATCAAGGATGATTCTCACACAATCAGAATAGTAGTAGAGCTAAGTAACATTTAATATACAATAAATTCTTCATAGCTGATAATTTATAGGAATGATCATGTAATTTGTGACCAGCATTATTAGTTATTTCAAATGTTATTTTGAGCTTTGTCTGTTTAAGCGCTTGCTTTTTCAGTGTTTTATATGTTCCCTAAGCACATATATCTACTTTTTATTTTTGTGCATTCTTGTCATCATTTATGACAGATTTTACTATCTAATCAATTAAGAATCAGAAAGATGGGGAGGGGAAGCTGATAACATGAGAAGATGTTTTTCCATCTGTTAAGAAGTCTTGAAAAATGAATGCTCTTTCGCCTACTGCCTCACAGTTCRTTTCATTTTCCATGATTCTGGTAGTGATCTCTAGCCTGATTAATGACAGACATGCTAAACCTACAGCTTCTTCAAAGCGCTGCCTCTGAGCAGACCCACCTACGCTTTAACCTAGAGGCAGATTCACTGAACCTGGGCATAGGGAATAAAGAAACCCCCTCTGAAGACACAGCAGCACTAGATTTCATCCTCTCACCTCTGGTTGTTCTCTGGAGCTCCCACTGCCCTCTCAGTGTAATCCTGCGCTCTCCAGACATTCCCTGGGGCAGGGGAATCCCACCCAGACAATCCACATTAGCAAATCCCATTCCTTCACCTCTTATTTATTGCCACTTAGAGCTCTGAGATGGTTTGCAAAGCCCTGTTGCACATAGGAGCACTTATTCTTAAAGGAACCCCAGTCCTGCCATTCTCCATTCCTTTTTATAAACTCAAAGCCACATTTAAATAYAGGGACATCTTTTAGTGGGGCAATATGTAGTCTAATAGGATGACATCAAAATCCTTACAAACAACTTCCCTGATGATTATCATTCAAAAGTGAGGGCAAGGCTTTAATGGAGGGAAATATTAAGCATTAATAGCTGTGTTTACAGTGGTAATTTAAAGGGAGCAAGGGAGAAAGGGAACAGCCCTGTGATAAGTGCCACACAGGCAAAGAGAGAATTTCCACCTAAAAGGGCTCAATTGTCTAAGCAGATGAAGGTCTTGCTGTCTTTGTTCACTGCTTCCACTCAATATACACATGTATGTATATATAAAGAAACCATTGAGATTGCCTCCTTACTTGTCAGCACTAATCTGTGAGATTCTGCCCCTGTGTGCTGCTTAAGACTATCTGTAGTAGAAAAATCCTGACAGTCTAAGGAATCCAGTGCCATTCTGTCCCTGAACAAAATAACTCTCTGTGCTGCTTAGAGCGCATATACTCAGCCCAGCATGGAGCTTTGAACGTGGCCTCAAATACTTGCTCCTAAGAAGCCATTTTCTGTTGAGTTCATATTTTATAAAATTATTGAACTACCTATGTGTGCTTTTTTGGAAGATTAGGCTATGAGTGTGTATCTTGTATTAACTACCAGTCAAAATTACTTTCATCTTGAATAGAGTTGTCTGAATGTGGCTGAGAAAGAAAATTGCATATTAAAGATTTTTTTTTTTTTTACTAAGCTTCTGAGAGCTGGGCTTTTAATTGGCTACTTTTTGTGGTTAGTAGCAAAAATAATTTTATTTTAAATATCAATTTTTTATTAGCATACTCTACTTAAACTGTTTTCTGTTTTAATAATTTTATACTAGTAAAGTGAAACAGTCTCTCAGCATGACTGATGGACTTTTCCCTAGGGAGACTGAGAGAAAAACTCTTCTTCTGCTTCAGGGATGACGTGAAGAACATYTGAGGAATATCATTTTTCTTTCTTTTGTGGAAAAGCTGTGGAAAAAAAGGAAAGCTATGTTTTTCAGTAATGAGCAGTGCAAAATCCCAGGTGATCTCTACTTAACATAGTAACATGCAGAGCATGTGCAGAGCTGCTGAGTACATGAAGAATCTGTATGAAATGTGCAATGTATTTAATAGAAAATGTTTCTTGCATTTAGCAATTAGTAAGTTTTCAGGTTTTTTCCCATTCCACTTATGTACAAACCAAGACCTCTCACAAATACGGCAAGAACAGATGGGAGGAAGAGAGAGAAACCTGA